TATACCATAGCAGTTGTTAAAACCTGTTTGCCAAGGTGGAGTATTCACTGGATTGTCTGGTTCAGACTCGATTATTTACAGACCGCCGTCATATAGATGGAATATTGCTGAGTGCGGCGTTAAACAACAACCAACTTGCATTTTCCCTTCCGGAGTAATGCAATTATACAACACATATAACTTGGGCAGCATGAGTTATGCGCGCACCGCATTCAGTGCTAAAATCAAATCTGCGTCTGGCTATGGAAGCTGCCTTGCCTTTCACAACCTTAGCAAGCTTAACCCTGTGGTAGACACAAACAAACATCGCTTCACTACTGCCTTGCCATGTCTTGTTCGCCAATGGTTCCACCGTCAAATGTTGACGCGTCTTCTATAATAGGCATACTCTGGCTGCAGTGGTATCTGCTGTTTTCTATCTCTGAGAGTAACGATATGAACTCCACAGTAATCAGGCCCGTACAGTATTGTTCCACTCTCTCCATCCAGAGAGAGAGAGAGAGAGAGAGCACATGTTGGAATTTAGAATTTTGATATGTTTAGATTTTAAAATATGTGCCTCCTGAAGATTTTGAATCAGTGCCATTGATGACAATGGTCCAAAAGTAACTGAGGCGACGTAAAATATTAGCTTCAATTAGGCTACATACGTTACCAGGATTAAAAATATAATCACTTATCTAATTAATGCAGCACATAAGCTCCGAACGTAGATGTATTTACTTCTTAATTGCACGATCGCTCTAGTTATGTGTTTCAAGATTTGCCAGCACCATCCATTACCAACAACAAGCTGAAACGCCCTTATGTGACTTAAAAAACTGTTCAAAGCGGCGTTAAACCAAACTCACCCACTCGCTCTAACAGATGCCACCAATACTGCACAGGTAACCGCTTACCGGCTAAAGGCTAAGATAATTATCTATAATCGTTGTCGGTAATTGAGTGAATTGGGTTTAGAGGCCCGTCAATGATATTACTGGAACATACAGCGAACTTAGCTTAATGTTTGAGAACAGAGCAAAGTGACAAAGGAAACTCACGAGAACAGATATGGTACCTTCAAACGAAGGATCGTGATTAATGACAATCTGGATTCGAGCGCACAATCAGTGAATCCTGGTACAGTTAAGGAACGTAAAACTGCTAAACGAATTGCGGCGAATTGGTGTCAGTGATGGCAAACAGAGGACGGATGTCTTTATCGACGTTGATCTGCCTCTTTGAATCACGGGAACTCGTCCTTTCTGTTTTCACGGACGTTGATCCACCTCTGTGAATACCAGACACTCGTCCATTCTGTTGTCACGAACGTTGATCCATATATGTGAATACCAAAAACTCGTTCATTCTGTTGTCACGGACGTTGATCCATATATGTAAATACCAGACGCTCGTCCATTCTGTTGTCACGGACGTTGATCCATATATGTAAATACCAGACGCTCGTCCATTCTGTTGTGTCGGACGTTGATCCATATATATGTGAATACCAGACGTTTGTCCATTCTGTTGTGTCGGACGTTGATCCATATATGTGAATACCAGACGTTTGTTCATTCTGTTGTCACGGACGTTGATCCATATATGTGAATACCATACACTCGTCCATTCTGTTGTGTCGGACGTTGATCCATATATGTGAATGCCAGACGCTCGTCCATTCTGTTGTGTCGGACGTTGATCCATGTATGCGAATACCAGACGTTTGTCCATTCTGTTGTGTCGGACGTTGATCCATATATGTGAATACCGGACACGCGTCCATGCTGTTGTCACGGACAATCCATCATCTGTTCTGATTCCTTGGTTTGATTGCACGCGACCCACGTGTGCGCATTGGTTTCGCCAAAGAGGGAAACGTTAACGACAGCGTCACGTCGGTTCCCTTGCTCCAATATTCAACTGACATGCCGGGATATAACTGAAATACTGTGCGGGCGTTAAATCTCACGCGCTCGCTCACTTTCCCTATATGTTCTAGTTCTACCATGTGCACGTCCTCAATGGTCTAAATCTGTTCATCATCGACGTTGATCTATCCAACACGAAAACCAGACACTCGCCCCCTCCATGGCCTATAGGGCGTCTGCCCAGAGAGCGGAAGGTCGGTGTTTCGATACCCGATCGCGTCATACCAAAAGACGTTAAAAAGATGGCACTTGTTGTTACCGTGCCTGGCCCCAAAGGGTGATAAAACAATTACTTTTCGCCTCGCAGTCAGAATATGTGCCTGTGTGTTAAACTGCGGCCTGGTGTGTAAGTGGGCTAGCACTATAAAACACACGCACACGCACATGCATAGTGCAATAATCTTCAACGCGACGTTAAACCCAATTTTGGGGCGTTCGGGTAGCCTAGTGGTTAAAGCGTTCGCTCGTCACGCCGAAGACCTGGGTTCGATTCCCGACATGGGTACAATGTGTGAAGCCAATTTCTGGTGTCCCCCGCCGTGATATTGCTGGGATATTGCTAAATGCGGCGTAAAATCAAACTCACTCACTCACTCACTAAACCCAATTTTAACTCACCTCACCTCCTCTCCGTTGCCACGGACGTCGAGCCACATCTTTATTAATACCAGGCACTATTCTGTCTTCAATTTTGTCTCACCTGGCACGCGTTATTATACAACTTTGGACCAAACGGCTTACACATATCACTTCTGAGGAAATGCCAGCACACTATTTTCGTAAGAGAGACCACATTTCCCACTTGAGGTACGAGTATCTGCCTACATGCTATCATCCACAGTGTTAAACCTGTCCTATTTGCAGCCTACAGTTTGTATCGAGTTCACCACAGGTTATAGTTAATCCACAGAAACATGCAAAGGTTTGCTGTAAATTCTTTGATATGCTGATAAGCCCGAGTCCGGTGTTTTCACGAAGTCTCCACACCGTATATAGAGAGGCGTTTAAACTGTAACCTCGTTAGACTGGACCTTGTTAATCTGGAAACCCTGCCTATTAGAGGGTGACTGTTTTGTATGTCTATATACGTAAATTAATCCTTATTCGTAACCCGATAATGCTTGTTTGTTTGTTTATTTGTTTTTATCGCCGCACTCAGCAATATACTCAGCATATAACTATATTACGGCGGGCTGTAAATACTTGAGCGTTTAAACCGGCAGATTTCATTTTATGTAGTATCGTCCGGATTAATGAGGTTTAACTATAACTCCATCGAAAAACAAAAACAAAACTCCTTTACATGAAGACGGGTTAGATTGTGATATATTTAAATATTCTCATGAATTTATATTTGTAAGTGTTGGTTTTGAGAAGATAATTAACTATGTAAAAGGGCCTTAATATGAATATCAGTCCGCGTGGGTATGTTTGTTTGTTGATTCCGCCTACTTTAACTGGCACTATGAAGAAAGTGCACTCAGTGTATATTGCCACTGTGTTACTCGCTATTACAGAGCTGTGCTTTGGATGTTACTCATCGGCTGTCGGTACAGGACTGTTTAGAGCGTCCCATCGTCTTGTAGACGGTCCGAGTTCGAGACCAAACATGGATCAAAGGTATTTGGGGTGACCCTTTGCGTGATACTGCTTCAGCGGTTTTAAGAACGTATATTATTCACTCACTCACTCACTCACTCACTCACTCGCCCTGTTATTAGCCTCAGTGTTGCCTCACCGAATCATGTAAACATCGGCATCAATTATCATAAAACACAACTTCAGTCAACCCTAAATAAGGGAGAACATTATTCCTATATATCTCAGTATTATATTCATATCATCAATGCTTCAAGAATCAAGATATATACACCAAATCTATAAGCTGATCATATCACTGCCTCTACTGCTTATCAGTTATCACACTTTACAAAAACAAAAGTGTTACTTAATTGAATAAGATATAGGTTATTTCTTTATTTAAGTTTGGGATTAATACTAAACAATTAAAACATCGGAACATATTTGACTCCGAGACATGATAATGACAACAATATTACATCCATTGGTATATAATATGGTTTCTTCAGAGGTATATCAGGTTACAGTCTGACTCGCGCGACATCAGCACTGGCACCTTGTTGGATGGTACACGCTCAGTGGTGCTATATGTCATCGTGGCACCAGTATGGTAAACGCCCGCCCAGGTTCTGCAGTCTTGCATTTTGTTCGAACCAATGCGCTTGTGAGTGACTACAGCACACAAGTATACACACTGTAAGCAATAACCTGCCGTTACCCACCCTCTCCTGAAATATCCGTCCTTGACGCGGGCTTGCTTCACCATTTATAGGCAGGTGAGAGACACACTTGAAGAATCTGCCGGTCGGAACCATTATGGCAGCGAGGGGTGTCAGGTTAATATCAAGTGCTCCATAACAGCGGGCTGCTAAAATTTAACGATACAAACGTTTTTTGATTATTTTTTGGTTTTGAATGGTTTAATGTTCTTTAAACCAAACATATGTGCATTTTGGCTTATAATATTGTTTTTGAGTTAAATTTGATATTTTTAACTTTCTACCCCTTAAGATAGACTGGTCCCACATGACGGTATATTCGACTGTAGTCTACGGCTGTACACTGCCTGCTAGATTTCCCTCCAGTCCTCCTAAGCTGTAACTTTGGTCGTGGATTTTCGATCTATTTCGAATTAGGCGACCTAGAAAAGTAAGTAAAATTATTTTCTTATGTTGTATAATTAACTCATTTGTGAGACTACGTGTGTAACGATAATGGTACAAATTGCCGAATAAGCAATATTTATTTACATCAATATGCAAATGAGGAATATTGGATTTACCTGTAATACGGACGTTTTTCACCTGGAAACACCTGACCAGGTATCGACCGACAATCTTGACGCAGGAATCGGTTACCATGGAAAGGTCGTGATATTTCTGAGCCACTGTTATGCCAGATGTATTAGAAACTTGAGTCCACCTCTCAATACTGGGCCCCGCGCATGTACGTAAGACCATAGGCTACCTCATGTGTGCCGGTACTAAGAAAAAACCTGTCCGTACGCAAGCTTTATAGGAGAATCATTTTTAGCAAGTCTTCACTGTCGTGGGAGAAGTGGTCTAAGCCATAGTCTAGAACCACTCCAACCTTTTTCATCAGCCTGTTTTCGTTTTAGATTCTCACGACAGTGATTTATAGATAAGTTTTAAAAAAACACTTAAAATGAAGCTCTCTCCTGTCTGGAACAACTATGCGTATTTGAAGAATCCGCAGACTTTTCAACAAGTTGCAGTTCAAAATGCCCTTGACGAGGCTGAAGAGAGGGTAGGTGGTGTGATAACTTCGTTATGTCACGGGTAGCCATTTTGAATTTGATTCAAGCTTGCGCAATCGTGTAAATCTGCTCCGGGTGTAACAGTTGTAGGTAATGATGAAGTACACTTTGTTAAAGCGATGCTATTATTAGATTCCCAACCTGATACGGCTGACTTTTTCACCTTCAGCCATTGTTTATGTTTCATAAGGGGATGTTTTTTGATGGGAAGGTCCAACATGGACGGCTATTTTGGCGTTGTGGCATCCGCTTTCCAAACATTACACTGAAAAGAAAAGGTTAAGACAATGACTTCTTCAAACATCCTATCCATGGAACGATTTTCAAGATTTGTGCAAGTTTGATACACCTGTACATACCAGACAATAACATTTTCCTCCGTAGGTATATATAGGTAAGGCTGGTACGTGACGGTGTTACTGATTCACCGCAGTGTTATTGTCTGGTATGTATACCATTGCCATGTCGACATGCAAGCTGGACACAGAGACCGATACGAACACAGACCCATCCTTCCTATACAGTAGGGAAATGGAATATATGGACATCGATTTGAAGGAATATTGCCTTCTTAAATGGCCTCCACGAGAGGATTCGTTTAGTTTGGCATTTACCCCTCGCTGACTCAGCATGGATTCTTGGAAGGCCACCAGGTTTCTGCTAACTCGTAGGTGAAGCAACTATTTGTTTTTTCCTCCAAATTTCTGGCGCAAACAAGAACAAACAAACTTTCTCCAGCAAAATAAGTCAGAGCGGTTTCACGGTTATTTACTCATCATGGATATTTTTGTCAACTTTGGAACAAATAGGCGATTTTTTTGTCTCATAGTTATAACGGGTCATTAATCCTTGGTATTGAACGCTTAAACATGAAAACATTCATAAACCATTTCTATGATATAGATGGACTATGGTTGTGTGTACGCTGGTTCTTTGTGTTCCGATTTGCAAACATGGATCCAATTAAGAATATCTTCATGTAATTAATTAATGGTTTTAAACAATGAACAGGTGAGGCTCAGCGGGTAGCTATGACTAAGAGGAGGTTCTTCGCCCCCGGCTACTCAGTGGTAAGATTCACAGCATTCAACTAACACACGGCCACCGCCATTTGTTTCGCCAGAAGACACTTGGCAGCCATATTGGAATTTCTGACAACTGCTTTATTTAGTAACTCCAAAAAAGTTATGTAGTCCTACCACCGGGCATAGACTATTTTCTGGATTTTGGTGATGATATTGAGTTGTCAGATGTTCCAGGATATTTATATTGTTCTGCAGCTTTGTACAACTTTTGTTGCGACATGCTTTACATATTCAGAGAACGGGGCACTGTTACATGCATCAATCTTTGTGCTACGAGTTTTGTATCTCCCATCATTTAACATAGACTTGTAATAGTCGAAGCGCAAAGAACGTTTCGTTTTGTGGAACGAAGATCCTGTCTCCTTTTTCTCACACAACATACGCATGTTGTCTAACTGTCTAACTGAATTTAATTGAATGTTACGATCGTAAATGTGTATGTGCAAAATATGCTTAGGTACTGGGTTTAATTAAAATGGCCTATGACAACGACCTACGTCACTAAGTGAAATGTATCTGACGTCCACTACGTGTCCTCAAGGTTATAAACGCATTTGATATCAAACACATATATTCTTTAATAGCTGTTCCCTTATTTATTTTTTCAGTATGTCAGTACTAATCAGTGATAAATGCATGAACAAGCAATCTCACGCGTACAACTTTCTGTGTGTATTTGAATCTCTATCTTTTGAATTGCTAATGTAACATAGTTTACTAACACCTGGTGTCATCATTGATTATCAATGATCCATTCATATTATTGGCACCGCCAGTTTGCCTTTTACGCCCAATGGAATCTGTGTTGGTGGAAAATCGAGACCTGTATGCTTTGGCGTTGACGTTTTATATCTAGATCACATAATAAGGGAAGCGAGATAATGTGATCTCAGAATAAGGTACTTCCGTAATAGACACTTGAGAGACTCTCTCTCTCTCTCTCTCTCTCTCTCTCTCTCTCTCTCTCTCTCTCTCTCTCTCTCTCTCTCTCTCTCTCTTTCTTTCTCTCTCTCTCTCTCACACACACACACACTCTCTCTCTCTCTCAATATTATTATGGGTATGGATTCTATTCCACATTTAACGGTGGAATAGTTTGGTGTAGACAAATGCAACCTGTCTGATAGACCTAGGTTCCCACATATGGGTACACTTCCCGATTCTCGTTTTCCCCGTTATAGTGTGCAAGCGGTGTTCAACTACACTCACTCACCCGAGGGGAATAACTGACTTGAACTCCATGTAATTCCCCGAACACTCATTTGCTTAGATTGCAGGAACAGTTCTGTTGTTTGTCAAACATTTTTCTCGGTCATGTTGTCCGATCAACTTTAGTTCTCGTTACTGAAGTAATTACATTCCCCCTTTACCCTACAACCCTTCCTCCATCCCCCTCCCGCCCATATTTGAAACATAGCCTGTTGTGTCAGTGGCCTGTGCCAAGAGTGCCAAATACCTACAATGCAAGTACCAAGTTGCCATGGAAACCTATGAAGATAAGAACGTAGCGTTCTAGATCTTCCGTCATGTTTTCCTCAGATGCGCCAAAGATAACAAATCCAAGGATCACACTGCAACACTTGGTGCATTTTGTTGCATATTAGTGCATTTGGATTAAAAATTATTTTTTTTAAATGAGGGTCCAAATCTGTATTTATCATGGAAGTTCCTCCACTCTGATATGATAACGTGGGTGTGTTCGCAAGAATCCCCGTGAGTCAGGGTTGCTGGTTCGGTACCTGTAGGCGCACTGTGGCGTAAGACCGATAACTCTATCTGTATATAGGCTGTGTGTGGGTGGGTATGTGTGTGCTAATGCAAGGGCAATCTTGTCATGGTGGATGTAATGTATAAAATGGAGCTCAACCGCCAATAATGATACCAAACGGAAACCTTTGTACTTTACCTGTATAAAGTTCATACATTTTTTAGATTTGACGGACAACGTGTAAGATATTAACTGATTTAAATACTGTATATCTATTATTAAATTTTGTATTAAACTTAAACTAATTCATTATTTAGTTCAACATAACTTATGTAATTATGTTTATTGCAAAGTATACCTATTTCGCAGATTATAACTTCTTGTTTCTTTAAATTCCATTGCTGTTTGAAGTACATGTTTTCAATATGGTATTTAACAAAAACACAAACTGTACATTTTGAGAGATACGTTAAAATAAATAAATTGTACTGGTGACGTGTGCAATGGAATTCCACTGAGACGTATTTAAGTCACGTGGTACTTAAGGTCTTCCAGCCATTTGGTATGACCAGATGTCTATCTTTAAAGTAGCATGCTACTTGTGAGAAGTCAAGTGATAGGTTAAATTACCACCGAATGTCTTTCAGCCTTAAACACCAAAAAATGTGTATTGGAAAAGTTAACATCGCGCATACAGCATATAGACATAGAGTTCTTTCAAGTACAAAGTACCGTATCCTAAATAGTAACAGCCTAGCTGGAGCTCGGGCCTACCAACCCCCGCAGTTGTTTATGAGCAGGAAGAATTGTTCCTGCATATGCGGCCGAGTCTATGTCAATATAGCTTTCCGAATGGCTCTCACATATGCGGCCGAGGCTATGCCTATATATACCTATACCTTCACTCGTGTTGTGTGAGCCAGTGAATGCCAGTGGGTTGACGCGATGCACTGATACCGGCTCAAGATACTCATATATCTGTCACTGCCGCATTTCACTGTCTCTCCGTTATTAGAACCAGAGCAGCAAATATTCTTACCTGAAGGACGAATAGAGATATGCAATTCTTGCGCGGGGGAATGTGTGACAACATAAGAACACATGCAGACACTTCACATCCGGTATATGGGAAAACGGTAACATTGAACACCAAGCCGAATGTGCAGCAAGGCAATTTCTCTCGGATGGAGAGTGACATAAAATAAGAATAACTGTAGATTTAGTTATCTGGCCACTAAAAATGCTGTCATAGTGTAATTCTTGCTTTTTAAAACATGACAAGTCCGTATGGAATCTCCATGCAAGCATATATATGGAATTGGACAGGGCTAGGGGAAATCACAGACTAAAGTCCAGTCCATGAAATCCCTTTCTCTTTGAAATCCTTTGTTTAGAAAAATATAAAAAAAACATTCTGTATAATTATTTTACCTCATGGTGAATAATTACATATCGTATCGGCGTATCTCAGGTAACATCGGCATGTTTCCTTGATCATAACGTTAGCAATATTTTTTAATAAGGAAATAGTTCCACAATCAACTTTTAATAGATGGATTAATTTGATAATGGATTAGGAGATACCAGGTCTTGTATATATTTTCGGTGTAGGTTTGGACACGTGTAGGTCTTCTCCATGTGACAATGGAGATCGGGTATTTGTAGACTGAGCCAGATTGAACTGTTGGATATCGGGTATTTATAGACTGAACCAGATTGAACTGTTGGATATCGGGTATTTATAGACTGAACCAGATTGAACTGTTGGCGGTGACTAAAGTGGGCGTTTAATGATCTGGTCCAAACTTGAATAGACGCAAGCCGGTTTCTCAATAACCCACTAAAACGATACACAGCACATACACTTAGGTAGATATACATATATCCCCAATCTGCTGAAATCATTATGTTGGGCTTACTTTGGGGAGAGACAGTGAAAGATGTAAAGAAATGGTAGTCTTTGAGTCATTTTGATTGCGGGCAGTGGGTGGCCTAATGATTAAAGCATTCGCTAGTCACACCGAAGACAAAGGTTCGATTCCTCGCATGGGTTGTATTTGTGAAGTCCATTGCTGTACCCGCTAGAATATGCCTGAAGTATTGCCGAACGCGGCGTAAAACCGCACTCACTCACCCTGTTTGTGTAGTGTGACTCATCCCTTGTTCTTGTCGCATTGTTTCCCATCATTTTTGAGAA